CTGTCTCTCTTCGTTCTGTAAATTTTCATCTTAACCCACACCAACGTTAGCTTGAATTCACATATCGAAATATTGATATTTTTTCTCTCTCCTAATTTCCTATTTCTTTGCGTTAAATTTATTTTATTATTTATTTCAAATTTACTTTCTTTTATTTTAATTCAATTCTATTTCAGTCACACGTGACGTGATATAAAATTCGTTAGCTATTATTAACGCTTCATTGATACATCGAAATTAATTTAATAACTTTTATTTGTATTTATAGGTAAATATTTGCTTGTTTTTTTGTTATATATATATATGTAGGAATGAGGGAAAATGAGAGATAAAAAGTACGTGTGCGTGTGTATGCGGGAACATTTCTGGAAGTATCAATAGGCGTCGAGTAAATGCTTTTATTTGGTACGTGCGGTAATTGAATGTAGATATGAATATGAATGTGTGTGTAAGAGGGTCACGATTGAAAGAAAGCAAGCGCGTTTCATCGTGTTTGAAATACTACACCATCTGATAATATCGCTTTGTGCATTATGAATGCGCCGAAGTCTCCCGAATGTTTTTGGTCTGGAAGTATCGAAAGATCCAGTCTTTATCTTACCCCGGAATGGTCTGGAGACTTCAAGAAGGAATACAGGAAGTAGCGATTACCAAAAGTGGGGGATGAAAGCGACCAGCGGGTGCCTTCTTGATTTGGTGCAATTACGAGTGTATTACAAGTGTGTTACAAGTATGCAACGAGTGTGCAACATTAAACTATAAATACTCTTCATATTCTATCTCTTACTTATTATTATAACTTATCTAATATCTATAAATAAATAAATGAATACTGGTTATTATAACAAATTTTACATACATCTATTTTTTTTATAGTCGCAAAAAATATATGGACTGTATTTTATTAAGAAAAAATTTTGCGTAAAGATGATACTAATGAACTCAACATGTGCGAAAGTTTAATCAATTCGTGTGATAATAAGAAAAATAAAATTATTATTCAATTGATTAATGTATTCGTAAAATATAAACACGTTATTTAAAATAATAAAATCAATATTAAATTAAAATAAAATAAGCGAACATTTTTATTACCAACCAGTAACAAAATTAGTATCCTTAAATAAAATGTTCCTTACTAAAATGTAAGGATTTTGCAAACGAAATAAAATGTAAATCAATGTAAATGATCCAGTTCTGTCAATTCATTTATTCCATCCTGATGTCCAAATCAAACTTCATATTAGTCTAATCAAAAATCTCGCTATAGAAAAAGTCAAATAGAAATATCGACGAGGCAAAAAAAAAAATATAAAAAAAAAAAGAGAGAAAAAAAGAAAAAAGAGTAAGAAAGTAACGTTAGATAAGGAAAGGTAGAAAATGTCTAAAAAAGTAAAAGATCTGAAGGTAAGTAAAAGTCGGTAAGGAATTCGTTGGAGTTTGGTGGATGAGAAGAAGGAAGAGGAAGAGGAAGAGGAGAAGGAAAAGGAGGAGGAGGAGGAGGAGGAGGAGGAGGGTTGAAGCGCGAAAGCACTAGCTTACATGCATAATTTCGTAGAACGGTTAAATTGCGTGAGCGCAGTGAAGTCAGTCAGGCAGCTAACTATGCGGAGCCATTGCTTGAGCACAGTGCAAACATCGCGATATAATCAGGAGAATTAAACTGTCCCTCCTCTAGTTTCTCGAAAGTCCTCCTATTCCATCCTCTCAACCATTGACTTTGCAGTAAGAGAAGCACGGTTTCATCCACTGAAAAGTCACCCACCTGTACCGATTTGCGTGTGCGCGTTCGTTCACTATGAGTTAGAGAGAGAAAGACATATATATATACATAGAAAGAGAAGACTATCCTGTAGTCGTCGTCCATTGGATTCAACTCTGCTTTTACTGAGGAAGAAGAAGAAGAAGAAGAAGAAGCAGAAGAAGAAGAAGATAAAGAAGAGAGAAAGGAAAAGATATAGAAGGGTTATATTAGTAGTAGTAGTAGTAGTAGTAGTAGGGGTGGTAGTAGTATTAGTAATAACGTGAACGAACGTTCAACGTAGAAAGAGAGTTGTCCGACTATATCGTCGAGAGAAAGGGGTGAGATAGTGAAACTGATGGTGGTGGTAGTTGTGGTAGTGGGAGAAACGGAAAGGAAGCCGACATGGAAGGATGGGGGTGCTCAACCAGTAGTACGAACCGTGTACGGTACGAAACGGCTTTCTATCAAATTATAAGTTGTCACACGGATGACGACGCAGCAGTAAAGCTGACTCTGAGCTTAGCTTTCCCAGTTAACGCCACTACCGTTGCCGCCATCACCAATCAGAACTGCTTCCCTCAACTATGTCCTTTTCTCTCTCTCTCTCTCTCTCTCTCTTTCTCTTTCTCTTTTTATCTCTTTCTATTTCTATTTTCAGAACCCTTTTGGTATCTTTCTCTTTGTCTTTCGTTACTTTCCTTGTTTCCTTTAGTTTTCCTTTATCTCATTCTTCCTCTATCTGTTTTCCTTCCATTCTTTGTCTTTTCCCTCTCATTCGAAGTTTTCGAGACCGTCGTCATGTCTGAATGCGTTACAGTTGATCCTCTTTCCTTTACAGTTTCTTGATTCCCAAGACACATAGAGAAATCGAAAAATAAGGGAGAATGATCATAAGGATAAAGAGAATGAGAGAAAGATAAAGTGGAATGGGATTAGGGTAGTAGATATTAGTAGGCTTGTTTTACAGTTGTTAGCTCATCGTCCTTTAGTATGTGTGGAATTTCTAATTGAATGTTGTTTATCTTATGCAGCTAACCTTTGGATAAGGGTTATGAAGAAGGGGAAGTTTCTTCTATGGTTCCTTGCTTTCTTTGGTTTTAATCAAAATCATCTAGGCATGGTTGTTACGAAATTTTTTTGTTTCAAGTTAATAAAGAAAATATAACAAAGAAAGAAAGAAAGAAAGGGTAAGAAAAAAAAATTAGTATACGTAACTAATGTAAAATAAAATGGAACTTTTCAATCCAGAGAATAATAAAAAGGCAATTACGTTAGTAAAAACGATCTTGAATGAGCCCTTTATCAGTCTTCTTTTCTTCAAAGATCTTAGGTAAAAAAAAAGAAGATATTACCGTATTATACGACGATAAAATTCGAAAGACTAATAGACCTCTCGATGTAGAGAATCGAATCGACGATTTATCACTAGATGAGGAGCCGTCATAACGAGCGAAATCATCGAGTTTTACAACATCGGAAAAAGAACGGGCACACAATCGTTTTCATCGATCCATCCTCCTTCATTCTTTTGTCTATTTTCTTCTTCTACTTCTTCTTCTTCTTCTTCTCGTCGATATCAAACAACGGAAGAACGTGTAAGATCCTCTTTGGTTGAAACTTAAAAAGAAAAGGGCATAGGTTGAAAGGAGTAAACCATAAAAGAAAAGTACATGAAACTCATACGTGATTGAAGTGAGACTTCGCTTGTAATTTTATTGAATTATTCGATTAGTAATATTTTTTTTTGCATATTTTTAATCGGCAGTACTTAAGTTGTACCATAGAAATACTATGGAGACCATAAGCATTAATTGTTATTGGATCTCACCACGAAAAGGTGATAATGTTTTATGGTTTCAATGGGATGATGGATTTTTAATAATTTTCCTGACATTATAAAAAAAATAATTGGTCAAAAGACTTCTTTATTATTGTGGTAGTGAAACCCCACTACTATTTTGCTATATATAATTATTTTAAATATTGTTAATAACAATCGTACATTTTGTTTGTGTATATTTCATTAAAAAAGAAAAGAAGCAAGTTCGTTCGCACGTGAAACCCTCCGTCAACGATTCCTTCTATTTTTATCTAAAATTCGAACAATCTCCAATGAAATTTATTCCGTTGGATTTCCATAAAAGCTTAACCGCGATTTATTATGAACGTATTATCAGCATCAGTGCCCTTGGCTTCCCTTTTTATTATAACACCCTTTTCAATGATGTCACTCCCTCTTCTTTTTTTTCCTTCATCTCGAAGCACCCCACGACAAGCACTTATCATAAGACGTATTATATCAAAGTTTTTGAAGGACCGATTGCTTTGTATTCAACAATTGGAAGAATGAGCAATAGAAATGTATTATCTTTATCCATTTCCTTTATTTTTTCAAATTATGCGGATGCGTTTTAAATTCAAAAAGGGGAAACAACTACATTTTTATGCGACTATAATTCATAATTCATACTATCCAATATCTTTTTTTTATTCACTTACTCGAACGTTTAATTTAATAGTAAAATAATTGAACTTACAGAAAACAAAATAAATATAATCAATTACGTTTGATAATAAGTTTAAATAACTGATATATTTTTTTTTAAATAATAAAAATTGAAAGATATTACCTAAAGATACTAAGAAAAATCTAACTATTGATCCAAAAAAAAAAACGGCGTGACCTATGAACCCAATAATCTTTTAGATATTCCGCGTACGCGACGGGCTTGCATCCGCCAAAGAGTTGCAAGTCGCAAGCTAATGTTTGCAATTTACCCAGGCGTGGTGGATCTCACCGGGAAGAGCAAACCGAGTGGCCGATGCAGAAGGGTTTCTAAAACACCCCTCTCTTTCTCTATCTCTTTCTCACGAGTTGTTGGTTAGGATGTTGGGAAGAGAAGTAAGTGAGCAAGAATGAGATAGATAAAAACAGAGATAGAGAAAGAGAAAGAGAAAGAGAAAGAAGAGAGAGACACACAACTGAAGAAAGACAGAGAAAGACAGGGAAGGAGAGAAAGATAAGTATCCTCTCCTTTTGCTCACTCCAATCTAGGGGTAGCAGGAGATACGGCAGCCAACCGAGGGTGGTGGCGGCACCAACCAGCGCCGCATCAAGTATCACTCTATTTACCCGTCAAATATTTGTGCTTTTACCGTGGAGCCCCGTATTCGAGGCCCCTCTTCTACTACCACTCTACTCTTAGGCTATCCACTCTATCCTTTAGTACCACTTTGTATACGCCAAGCAGTAGCAATGCCAGCAACGGTACCACCACCACCACCAACAGTAACATCAGTAACAGCAGTAGCAGAAGCAGAAGCAACGATAGCAGCAATAGCAGTAGCAAGAGTGAAGACAGCGGCAGCAGCAGAAGCAGCAGCACCGGTGCCACTGTAGACTGAATTTCCCTAACGAAAACTTGCGAAAATTTGCAATTCCTAACGAGGAAAACCCGAGGCCGTATTACGTTCTTTTCTTTTCCCTTTTTTTTGTTCCCTTAATGTTAGAGACTGAAGTAGGCTTGTTGATCTTTTCATGATAAATAAAATAGTATTTGATTGATAATTAGAAAATGTGGAAGATTTAATTAAAGATATTTGGTAAGTTAGAGAATAATAATATGAAAATAATGCAATATCTGATTAAAGAAAAAATTTCCTAAAATTAAGAATATCATTAGAATGTACTTAAACGCATTCTATGTAATTTAATGTGTAACGTACAAAGGTTGACATTTAAAGAATATTTATCTTATCAATAGAATACTTTTATGATTGATAATTAGAAAATGTGAAAGATTTTATTGAAGACACGAATGAAGAGAAATAGAAATATAGAAAAAAATAAAATAAAATAAAATAAAATGGTTTTGGTGGATGGCAGGTTTTCAATCCAAGATATTAGAAGAAGAAGAAAAAGAAAAAGAAGAAGAAGAAGAAGGAACGAAGCGAGTATGTGCCAAAAATAAAGATTCTTACGAGGTATGAAGAAGAGAGAAAGATAGTAAAAAGGAAAAGGAAGGAAAGTAGTAAAAAGAGAGGATGACGATTGCAAGGTCCACGATAAACCCGTAGGCCGGTCACGGATGTGACGCACGAACAGCTAGCATATAGCTATCCTTCTTTCCTTCCTGTTCTCTTTTTTTGGCCCCCTTTAGCTGGTCACCACCCTGGGGGAATCCTAATATCTACGTTTGACGTCATGCCAAATACTTACCCCTTACTCGTCTGGAATAAGGCACGAACGTGAGACGGCCGCAATAGAAGACGACTGTACTAGGACGACGTGGAAAGTAAAGACGAAGGAAAAGGCAGAAAAGACTTTTCTTAATGCAATGCCAAGGTAAATCCTTCTCGAATGCAAGTCTCTCTGCAAGACTACTACGCGTACTTGTCTTCTCAACTGAAAAAATATCCTAAGGAATAATTAATATTTGAGAAAAAGAGAAAGATTTTACTAAATGATATCGTGGAATTTTTTGCAAGTTTAGAATAAAATTGAATTTTTACAATTCTTTAAAAGTTTACATTCTTTTTTATTTGTTTATTTAAATAAATTATTAAATTATCTTTAATTATATTGTTACTTATTATCTATAACACCTCTATTTTGTATGAAGAACAAATTTAAGTATTATATTGAAATAATACGAAATTTATTTTTGATTTTTTGCATGATATCGAAATTGGATTTCATTAGATTGTTAATATATAAATAATATTAATCTTATCAGTGCAATTTTTAAAGTTTTAAACTAGGATTCAATGACAATATTTGCAAATTAATTTAAAAGTAACAACATTTATTGAGAAAATTATTAAAAGGAAATATAATATAAGATGAACCAACTGACTACGATACGTGAATAATTCTGAACGAGCGATACGACGATCTATATTTACGTGAAGCGATGTGCAATAGTTGATACAATCATATTTGTACAGCGGTTAACACAGTAGCGGTTTATCGATTAATACGGAAGAAGAATGAATGGAATAGTTGGAGTAGATTGGAATAGAATTTAGAACCAATCCATTCACACCTTGTTTTTAGAACGGAATATTCATCAGAGTAACAATATTAATTCTATTGTAAAAAAAAAAAATAACATTTATCAATATACAGTAATATTTTATTAGCGTTAATTGGTATACTACGATTTGCATAGAAAAGTAATAATAAACAAACGTTAATTAAATTTGAAATTTTAGAAAAGCGTATTATATACTTCATCAATGTTATAAATTGATTACACTAATCAATTTAATACTACGGATTAGCTAATATGAATCGATATTCTATGTTTAGTTAATGGTTATCACTGTATGTCAAATACTGGAGAATTAGTTGAAATTGGTGATAATTAATTGGTTCTATTTCAGCTTTTAATATAATCATATGCTATCTGGAAAATTTTATAAAGTTTTTATAAATTTTATAAATGAACTGTCGGATATAACAGTATATTAAAATTTCATATTTAAAGGGACAAGACTGATTTGAAGATATGTGCCACCTTTAAACCAATTTGATTTTCAGCATTTAATAACACGGTAGATAAAAAATTAGCAATTTAAAAACAAAAAATGCTAAAATCGACAACACTTGCAATCTCGTTAGAACCCCCTTTTTCATATCACCTCAACGTTTAAATATCAAATAATTTTGTTTTATCTACATTTAATCATATAAAAATATAAATATTGAGTTAATTATTCAAAAAATAATTTCCCCTTATATATTTTAACAATTAAATGTCAATAATTGTTAACCAATTACATATTTTTTTGTCTAAGTATAGAAGATATTTGTTTTAAGTATAGAAAAATGTGATATAGGTTCGATATTATCTGTCAGTATCATAACCAACGTTTATTACAAAAATAGAGTAGCTTTAAGTTTGATAACCACAAGCAGGGTTATTTTCGATCAACTTTATCCGATTCGGTAGGATTTGATAACGTCAAAAAGTTAATTTTTAACGTTCAAATATATATATGTATGTATAACGTGAAACAGATAGAACGAAGAGTGCTAGTAACATGGGGAAAATATTCACTTTCCGAATTCGGTTCGATCCGATGATCCCGGTGGAAATCAGTAGAATTATCGAGAGCGTATCGACTATCGAAAGGGCTAGAAAGGGTATAGTGGTACTAACGTGTACGTATGCATGTATATAATACTAACGTAGGTGTGTAGGGAAGATATCGAACGCGGACCGTCCGATTTGAATACATAACTGGCTGGATATAAACGAGCCTATGAATAAAATTTAAATTCCAATCAGCGGATGAACAATGCAACGAATATAGCTGAGTTTCGAGATCGGTAGCAATCGGTTGAGGAAGATAGAATAAAGCAAACGTAAAGTCTAGACGCGACAAAACTCAACTCCTAATCGAATGAATAGATTTCAAGTATTAACTCTACTTAACTCTTCAATAATAATCCTTCCATTAAAACAAACAAAATTAAATAAAACAATATCACATATTGAAAGTTAAACAAACAAAAATCGTAGAAAAAAATAATCATTTCGAATCACGCTAAAATTACGTATACGCATTTTAATTCGTAAAGAAAAAAAAAGGGACTGAGGATACATCAAGCATTGTTTTGCAGAATTGGGGATGACAGAAACAAGCGAGTTCTCCTTCCCCCTGCTTTTAAAAGGGCTCGATTGGGTGGGGGAAGGGAGGGAAGGGTTACCTCTGGAGATAGGACCGAACGACACGCACCCGCTCGGCAATCGCAGCAAATTACAATTATGCCTGTTTGACATGCGGACGGTTTGATTTATTAATCATCGACCAGCAGCACCCGGTAGCAGCACCACCAGCAGCAGCAGTAGCAGCAGCAACAACAACGATGGTAGGTGAACGTAGAAAAGGGATGCTTGGTTCAGTGGAATGGGGGAAAAGGGAATAACTGTGGCGATGCCGGTAGAACGAACCATAGGACGATGAATATTTTCGCGCGAACGCGGCCGTGCTCGTAATTTTCTCGATTCGCGTTTATTGTAATTTATGCGTGGCGTTAGCGAGCTTTCTCCCCATCCAACCCAGTGTACGCAACCCTCTCTCACTCCCCTTTCCTCTCTTCTTTTTTCCTCCCCCACCTCTCCCTCTCTCTCGACACTCTTGCAATGAGAACGCAGGGTGGCGTGATGAGGGCGAAACGCGAAAGCTCAGGCCTGTTTGCACAGCGCTTGATACAGAGATCCAGCCGATTCAATTAAATCCGCAGTAATCGATTAAGCGTGTGATCAACGGCGACCGTTATCTTTTTATCGGCGGATTTATGCAAATTAACGGTTGCCACTTCGCTCTCTTCCTTCTCTTCATGTTTCTCTTTCCTGTTTCTATCATTATCTATCTATCTCTCTTTTCTCTTTACAAAAGTTTTCATTCCACTTCAACCCACTTTTATCATACTCCAACTATATTTCTCTGATATGACTAGTTTATGTTTCATAAAAATGTTTATAACTGTACCAAACGAGTAACCCGATTGAATTCAATTTTAATTATCTTTTTTTTATGAGTTCTGAATGTGTGATCAGCCGTTTTGAAAAAAATAGCAACTTCTCCAAAACGTTAAAATGCAATTGAATGAAATACGTGTATGTTGCTCGGTTAAAATTCCAGGTGGACGGTTAAAGAGTATGTGAATTTGATATAATTGAGAGAAAGAGTGTGAGAGAAAAGGGGGTAGGGGAGAAGGATTCACACAGGGATGAGAAAGGAAGAGGATGGATAGGGTCCATCTCTCGATGAACAATGCTAATGAGTAAATAATATGCAACGTGCTATTAACGTTTCACAAACAACTACGCTCGTTATGTTCTCTTCCCTTTCACCTCTCCGTCCCTTTCCACAGAAGCCGGGATCTCGTTTGATTTTATCAATATTTAGATTGTTGAAAGATTATTTGAGATTTTATAAATTGTTTAATATATTTCAAATTATTTATGTGTGTATGTGTATGTCCAAAGAAGAATTATTTTTTTTACAAAATTATGTATTTATAAAAAATTGTACAAATCATTTCATCATGCATTCTATTGTTTTATTATGATAAAAAAGGAATATTAAATTAGGTCAGTAGTTTTCACTGAAACATTGCCAAGTATTTTCTACATAATTTTTTCTCATTTTAATTTCATTTTCAACTTTGCATTTGTACGAAGCTTGATTTTTGACAATTGCTGTAATAAAAATCAATGTGGAAAAGAAAAGGAGGGGATGGTCGTGTTCATTTTGATTCTACAAATTGAAAAAACTGTTCTCATCTTATTTATTTGTATCAAGCTTTGACAAAAAATAATTGACTTTTTGTAAAGTATATTTGCTGGAAATTTAACATGGAGTGTTTAAAAAAAATTTGAGAA